GAAAGGGTGAGTAGAGCCACATGCCACCGAACCATCAGCCTTTTCACCGTGTAATTCAAAGCGTGCAGAGCACGCAGGGCCACAAACCGAGAATTTGCAGTTTGGCAGGTGGCCTTCGCGGCCAAGCGAGGCTGGAATTCTTGGAGTTGGCTTTCGGGAAGAAATTCCTGTCGTCAAGGGGTTAAGATGTGTTTTAACACAACAAATATAGAATATCTCCTGTAGTTTTGTCTATTTTAAAATGCAAGTCTGACAAATACTACATGAATGTAGTAACAAGCCAACAGGTTTACCATAAACATCTTCATGAAGAACAAATTGTTGCAAAATGTCTTGCCTCCAATGTTAACTCTTGTGCGTGATAAAGAGGCATTGTTGGTTGAAAGCATTGGCTCAGGGTTTTTTTTTTTTTGGATTTGTATTCATTTTCTAGCTGGGGAGTCGTCAGGTGACCCCTCCCTACAAACCGCGTCTTGAGAGTGAACGTGACCTAGAACATTTTGACCCACAGTTTACAGAGGAACCTGTGCAGCTTACTCCAGATGATCAGTAAGTGATGCCATTTTTATATGGTCTTAATTTGTGTCAGAATGATTGTTTGGTGTTACGTAATTTTCTTCTGTTCCCGAAACTGGCACAGTGCGCTGCTGACCTCTTTTCAATAGGAGCCAGATTAGCGTGCAGCAGTCATTGCTGTGGTGGTGGAGTGCTTTTGTCCCCAGTAGTAATCCGCTCGCACTGAATACCACAAACAGTGGTATACTGTTTCCAAAAAAGGCTGGATTGTCTCCACAATCGACAGTGAAAAAATGTTGGTGATTCCCAGCAGCCTGGTCTTTGTTATGAGTACGGTCTTTTGTTAAAAGGTCCAGTTTCTTTTGTCTGATTTTGGACACCCTGGCTGCGCATGTAAAGAATATGTGTCAGAAAACAGACAAAGGCTTAAAACAATTTAGGAACTTGAAAATGTATATTTCTGAATGGAAAAAAGTATAGATAAGACTTGAAGCTATGCATGGTGGAAATACCAAGCTAGGTACAGGTAGGTTGCACCATGTACAAGAAAATATCTCTTTTATGAGTGTGTGGTTCTGAGAAGAACCGATGGTGGACACTCAACATTCCGAACAGTATGCTCTGTTTGTCTTCAGGAGGGTGACTCCTGAAGATAAGGTCCCAGTTCCGGGCTCCCCGGCTCTGCATATGAAACCTATTTACTCCAAAATGGGTCGCCCGGCAGGGAGTGGTTAACGTACATTATCTGGTTTTACGTTTTTAATTAATTTCAAAACAATGAGGCCATTTCAACAGGTAGAACCCTTTTTGCCTATTGAAATGGCCTCGTTGTTTTGAAATTAATTTTAAAAGTTTGACATCCGATGCAGTGATTAGTCCAATGGAAGAAGCTCCAGGTTAACTTTCTGCTTTTGTGCAGCGACCCTCGGTCACTTCCTTCATCACATCATGATTCACTGCAATTTGTACAAATATGTTTATGTTCCAGGCAAAAAGAATATCATTTTAAGCCACTCTCTCCCAAATCAAAGTTGCCATGGCCTTTGCTCACCAAAAATTCCCTCATTAGCTGTTGGAGACTGTACTATAGCTTGCCATTGCCAAACAAGAAGATGCCCCCCCCCCAAAAAAAAACTGGAGGATGTGCTATGCAGATGCCTTCTCTTAAGTTGGGTAATTCTTGTAGTTTAATCAAATTTTGTATCACTAGCACAACAAACCCAAAGAACAAAAAAAAAAATAAAACTAACGGACTTCAATGTCGTAGTGTCTTGATGAATATGCATAGTGCGCAACCTATGTAAATTAGGTTGACCCCTAGGGAGGGATAGCAGCATGGTGGAGAACAGTCACTAATAGAACATTTTGGAGACAAGATTCGTTCTGTATTCAATTCAACTTTATTGAGCTTGATCCGCCTTCATTAACACTACAATTGACAAATGAGGATGGAATGGGAAAATACAGGAAAGTCATGAATAATGTGGATGGATTGACTCTGATTTATCAGATCGAATTCGTGGGGAAATCGTCATGAAACTTAGTAGTAGTGATGTTAGTCAGGTTAAGTTATCAACCCACATGGTGATCTGAGCAATGTCGGCATTACGTGGCAGAGATCGCTGCGTGGCTTCAAGTTATATACCGTCGGCCGAGGGGTGAAAAATGCAGATCAGACATGAGCGTTGTTCCTACATTGTGCGGGACTGAGGTACAGGATATCTTCTTTTCACTAAGGGAAGAAGAGGGATCAGATGCATATGAAAAAGCAACAAAAATGCTGAGCAAACATTTTCAGCCAAAGATCAACGTGCTGTATGAGCAGTGTTCCTTCGGGAGCATGGCCCAAGAGGACGGCGACTTGATCAACAGTTCATTGTTAGGCTGCGGCAGTGGGCTGTTCATTGCAATTTTCAAAATGCAGATGGGGGATCAAGCGATACAGGGCTAAGTGATAGAAGAATGCAAATCACACAAGATCCATTCCAAACTGTTGATCAAAGGCCAAGATTTAACTCTGGATGACCTGAGGACGATCGCAGCGACAGTTAAACTCACGGACAAGCAGACCGAGCAATGGAGGCTGGGGTTCACGGGAGTCACATCCGTGGAGAAAGCACCAGCATGAATGCTGTGCAACAAGGAACATGTAGACCCGGGACACGTAGACCACAGCATAGGAAGTGTTTTTGCTGCAGACGATCTGGACATTTTGCTAAGGATAGGAACTGCCCAGCAAAGAATAAGGAGTGTAACAAGTGTGGACTATGCAGATATTTTGATTTTTGCTGCAAGATGAAAGAGGAACGGGCAAAAGAAATGAGCGAAGAGAGTAAGGCCGATCTAATGGACAAAGGAAAAAAGCAGGAGGAGCAGGACATTGGAAACTGAGTGGGTAAAATGGTCGGGATACTTCAAGGGTTAACACCGTGAACAATGAACATAACTCTGACTCGGATTATGTATTTCACGTAGGAAGTGTTGATATTAATCAGGTGAATTGTTGCTCCACAGACAAGTGAGTGTATTTGGGTAAGCAGAAGTTGCCCTAAATGTCATTGTTGATAGTGGAGTGTTGGTAAATATTATTGATTCAAAATTATGGGAAAGTTTAAAGAAGCCAAAGATTACATGTAAATCTGAGCAAACCACAAAGCTGCATGCGTATGGGACAGATAAACCACTAGATCTGTTAGGGAAATTTAGTACAGCAGTTGCCATGCAGGGTGATTGTACAAGTCGAGAAGTGGATGCTAATTTCTATGTACAACAGGGCATATTGAACATTGGAGTCAATTTGGTTGATGATGTGCATACAGACTACTGCACGCACATCAGAAAGGGTATCAGTTGAGTTTACTTACAGAGGGAGATGTGCAACCAGTTGATCAGAGAATGTGTAGAATACTGTATAGTATGAGCCAAAAGCTTAGTCATAAGTTAGTTAGATGAGCTAGAGTCGCTAGACATTATCGAGAAAGTGCAAAAACGAACCATGGGTCAGTTCGGTCATTGTCGTGCCAAAGCCCAGTGGAGATATTCGGTTGTGCGTAGACACGAGACAAGCCAACAAGGCAAACATTAGGGAGTGTTATCCTATCCCCATGGTTGATGAGATTTGTATAACATGAATGGGGCAGAAATGTTCAGTAAATTAGATTTGAAATACGGTTATCAAGTTGAATTGGATGATGAGTCACGTGACATCACAACATTCATGACACATATAATAAGGGGCTATCTACCCCCAGCTGAAGTGCACTCCCAATCAGCGAAAGAAAGACAGGTGGTTACAAGTGGGTTCTTGCACACGTTCTGCTTGTACGTAAAGACCATACATGCTGCAATAAGTTAGTTACACGTACTCAGTGTGCTCAACGTCAAACGCGCATATACTTGCGTGCCTCATGGCGTGCCTATGCAGTGAGTACCAAAAAAACCACGCCCTCTTTTGTTCCGCTCGGAGCGGATACAGGTACAAACGTTTAATGTTTGGGATCAGTGCAGTACCAGAGAAGTACTGTATCAACAAGTGATTGCACAAGTCCTCCATGACTGTGATGGTGTTCGGGATATTCAAGATGACATAGTTGTGTGTGGTAGGGACAAGCAAGAGCCTGACCAGAGGCTGAGACAGATCATGGAATGCCTGAAGGAAGTAGGACTGACTCTAAATGCAGACAGATGTGAGTGTGCAACGCAGACGGTCAAATTTATGGGACATGTATTGTCACATAGGGGCAAAGAACCAACAGAGGGATGAATTCGGCAATGAATAATGCCAAACAACCAACCAGTGTGGCTAAAGTGAAAAGTTTCTTGGGGTTAGTAAACTTCTCAGAGAGATACATCCCAAACTTGGCCACACTCACAGAACCACTGTGTAAACAAGTGAGGAAAAATGCACAGTTTTAGTGGGGCAAAGATCATTGTCTAACTGATGCTGACACTTTGGGCTATTTTAGAGTGGATGCTATAAAAGACCTAGTTGCTGACAGATGCAGGTGATGTGGGACTAGATGCTGTGTTGCTGCAAGAATACTAAGGCCAAACACAAGTTATTAGCTATGCTAGTCTATGCTGATTGATGTGGAGACCAGGCACTCTACAACAGAAAAAGAGGCATTAGCCCTAGTGGGGAGATGTGAGAAATTCCATGTCTATCTGTACAGGATAGAATTTGAGCTCGTCACTGATCACAAGCTACACATTTTAGATCAAGTATCGACCAGGTTGAGAAAATATCACAGACGCATTGTCGAGGCCGATGAACACAAACACCGCAGACAAGCAGCTGTAGGCAGAAGAATATGACTGTTTTGTGGCAAGGGAAGCATCCCCAGAGAAATGTCAATGAGAAAAGTCGAAGAAGAATTGAAGAGTGATGAGGAACTTACTGCTGTGCAAGGGTGTCTCATGGATGATCAATGGGAAAGATCCAGTGTAAACTTTCAGGCAGTAAGACATGAGCTGAGCTGCATTGGGCACCTAGTTGTTAAGGGAACCAGGATTGTCATTCCAAAGAAATTGAGAATGAGATGTGTCAAACTGACTCATCAGGGCCATTTTGGAACGAAGGAGACTCTAAGAACCAAAGTGTGGTGGCCTCAGATGGTAAAGGATGTTGAAACGTATGTAAGATCGTGTCATGAATGTCAAATTACTGGATTGATGCCCAATCCAGAGCCACTGAAGGCCACATCACACCGATGAAACAGCAGCTTGGCAGGATTTGGCCATTGACCTGATGGGACCACTACTGTCGAAGCATTCTGTTTTTGTGGTAGTTGACTGCTATAGTCAGTTTTATGAAGTGGAAACCGTGAAAGACAGACACTTCAAGTGAGTGCATCATTGAGGCTTTGGAGAACATGTTTAGTTGTTACAGCCTGCCAAGATCCATCACATCAGAAAATGGACCACAGTTTGGGCCTGAGGTTGTGTAGAAGTATCCGAACGATAATGATATTAGACACAGAGCTGTAACACCCCTCCATCCAGCTGCAAATGGTGAGATTGGAAGACAGAGTAGATCACTGATTAAATGCATCAGCATTGCTATGGCTGAGTCTTGTGGCTTGAAGACAGAAATCTTTACTTACCTGTTTGCATATAGAGCCACGCCTCATGCAACCACAAGGGTGTCGCCGGCGGAACTGATGTTTGGCCGGAAACTGAAAACCAAACTTCAGTAGTTACATGTAGATGTTGACAGTCAAGGTCTTGACAAAGAAGTGAGAGACAGAGATACCACACAGAAATACAGAAAAAGTTATATATAGATAACAAGAGAGGAGCTGCAGATAGGGATCTCCAGCCAGGGGACACAGTTCTTGTAAAACAAGCTGTCAGGGTAAACTAACCACTCCGTTTAAGACAACTCCATATACCTTGGTTCCGAAGGAAGGGAATAGCATAACAGTACAATCTCCAGCAAGAGTGAGATACAAAAGAAACAGCACACATGTCAAAGAGTACAATACACCAGAGCATGACAACAATCCAGAAAATCCAAATGTTAAAGAATCCTCACTTTGAGGAGTTAGAAGGAGTTGGGACGGAGTTAGACATTCAGAGTACGGATGAAAGTCAAAGTGGTTCTCAAACGCCAGACCGTGAGAGAAAAACAGGAAACCTCCCAAATAGTTGGAAGACTGTCTTATGACCAAGAGAATGCAAAGGGTCCAAAATAGTAAAAAAAAATCAAATACATCGCATCAAAGTTTGAAGTACTGAAGTTAAAAGTTTGTTGCAAAAGCCAAAATTCAATTGAAAAGATTGCATACTTATATGTAAAGCATGTTATGTGCATGTAAATGATTATAGAAATTCCAACTAAAATAATTAATGTTGACTTTTGAAAAGGACATAATGTGTGGTACAGTGTATGATCCATGAGCATAAACCCTTCATTTGCAACTATAAATTTATCTTTTGGGATGGTAGTGGATAGATTGTGAAACCTGAGTCATTCCTGACTTTCTCATCCTTACTTAAAGCAAAAGTGATGAGAAAGTATGGATTCCATCAATCACTTGGCACAGGAAAAGGATAAAGAAGAAGGTTTGACCGTTGCAAGTTTGAATGGTGAAGTATTAGTTTTATCAACGGAGTGTATGCCAAAAAAGTTAACTTCTGTACACTGTACCCCTGTACATCTATAATCTTGATCATTCACCCTGCCTTATTTAAGTTTCTCTATTTCACTGGGATAATTATGTTTGCTTGAATCTAAAAAAAAGGGGCAGCTGTAGTGTCTCGATGAATATGCATAGTGCATGACCTCTGTGAATTAGGTTGACCTCTAGGAAGATGGTTTATTATGGGATAGCAGCATGGTGGAGAACCGACACTAATAAACTGCTTTGGAGATAAGATTTGTTCTGTATTCATTTCGACTTTATTGAGTTTGATCTGCCTTCATTAATACTACAAATGTATTTTATGTGTTTCCTTGTCATATTCATCAGTACCTTTTGGGGGAATTTATTGAAATAATGAGCTCACTAAACAGCTGCTTGGCCAAGGGAACTTGAACAGCTGTAGACTGGGTTACCGAAAGTTTGCACAAGGAAAACAAATTCAATGGAAAACAACTTTCGTCTTTGCAGTCAGTCTGCAGTGCATGTAAAAGCTGGTCATTATATTTGCTATGTATGCACGGTTTTCCATGTAGTAGGCACTAGTAATGAATATTCATGACTTGGGCAGCATCCAGAAATCCATTTATTTCACCTATTTTTATTGAGTTTTATGCCAAAATGACGTGTTTGTGATGGACAGATAACTGTAGATTACTTTCAGGAGCCATCTGGAGACAATTAGTTAGTGTAAAAGGACGATAAATATACGACTGCAAACCGATGAAATTTGCGTTACAAAACTTGCTAAAAACACACTCTTTTCTGTGGTACCACATCAAAATCCCCCCCCCAAAAAAACAAAATAAAGAGACCAGGTCTCACTCTTCCAAAGTCAGATAATTTGGTGACAGCTTACAGTTTGCCTGGGTCAGGATACCTTGATTTCTCAGCTTATCCCCAGAAACTAATGGTCCAACATTGAAGTGCCCCATCATAATGGTTTTTTCAAGAACAGATACTTCCTTTTCAGAAAGAATTTCAATTATATTTTGTGCAAAAATAAAGCTTTCTTTTCAAAACAAGTACCAGTTCAGTGTAAAAAAGGCATTCTTGCAAGTTGATGTGTTTGCCCAACACCAAGGAACAAAATCAACAACCATGTATAAAACACAAGAGACAAGCTCACATAGTTTTTCCAATAAATAGTTTTTCTCAATCAACAAAATGACATGCAAGTTGTTGAAAATTCTATAAATGAAAAGGAAACTTCACACAGCACACCGTAACAAATCAGCTACTGTATGATTGAGACACATGTGATGTATGGAGCACCAATAAAAAAAAATTGTCAGTGCTTTTTCAGAACAAGAAAACTTACTGCAAAAAAATGGCATGTATATTGAAAGGAGCATACCTTGTAAAATCCCTTTTCTGACACTGATACATGCTGGTACATGTAATATTTATATGTAATATATAAAGCTTAATCTGCTTTATGGAAAGCTACCATCCCTTCCAGCAGTGTTTACATTTCAACGTTGACTGGCAAACAAAACTTGCGACAATCCTTCTTTATGCAAGCAATGCGAGGTGGTGGCACATGGTCATCGGCCGGTGAGTCTCATGCCATGCCTGTCAATATACAATGAGTGTGTAGAGGTTGGTGGAAAGTTTCCTTCATAAACAATGCATGACAGGTGATGAGTTCATTGCAGTGCTAGTGACAGCAACACATTCGCCATTACATGCAGCCTTTCAGACTACAACGAAAATATCCCAGTACCTCCCCAACGACTGCCCTTTTGTTGGTTTCTCTTCTGGGGGTTCAGGATTTCCTCTTGGTAGGCGTTATTCCCCCACAAAACACTGTATTACATTTGAGTATTAAGGCATTTAGACCTAACTTAAATCTGATTGTTGTAATGACAGTGGAGTTGGAAGGGTTGAAGCTTGTCAAGTTCTTATAAGACTCACCTGCATTTTTATTTTGAGTTATTGTGATTAACAGGTTAATAGAAAGCTACATTTTGTACATGATAAAGGCGATATGCACATTAAGGATTAATGCTTGTGAGTTTAAACAAATTCAGTATAGTGAATTCTTGCTGTGATGGAATGCACTGTATATTGTGTAACACGTTTCTGGAAAAGTTTAAACATGGTTCAATGTTTATTTGGTATTTGACCTTGCAGCAAATGAACGAATAATAAGAAAACAAAATAAAGAAAATATCATTATAAAATGACATTTAAGAAGATATAAATGGCTGCTGAACCCCAAGCTGAATTTGTGTCTAAATTAATAATGTGCTTTATTTATGTGTTCGTGTACCATCTCTCCAGGCCTACCTGGAGAACGGAATTCTCTCATGCAGAGTCATTTGTTTCCAATGAATGGTATGAACGGGAAAAGCAACCATCACGTGGCCATGAAAAATCCCCTTAAAGAAGTAAAATAAAAAAAGAAAAATGCTAGCTGTACATGTAGCACCTTCATCATGTTTGTGCATTTGTCATGGCCACACATGCATTTGTCATGGCTGCATGCACAAAATATGGCAAAAATGCCCCAAATGGTGTGAAATCTCGCAACGAAAAATACTTCTGAAAAAATAAAATAGATACTCAACACAAGTTAAAGCCCTAACCAAACTCAAAACATATCTTATTTCCAAATATACGGACACATTTTGATGATTTTGTTTGTCTGGGTAACAGAGCAATTTTACCCCTATATGACAACCTGTCTTGCGCTGATGATATATCATAGAAAAATGGAAAAAAATCTCACCGATTTTTATATCATTATACTTTGAAGAAATGAGCAATATACTTACCACACTATCTTGGGCATCAGGTGTACAGCGTTTTAAAACGTGTAGTTGGAAAAGCACCCGGCGAACTCTCGAAAATCCTCGCGCAAGTCTCGCAGCGAAACTGTGTGGAGAGAACTGCAAATAAATATCGTGCAGTGACCTCATTATCCTTGCCACTGCAGACTGACTGTTGTAAACTAAAATGGGAAGTGGGTAATTTTAGCTGGGCAGCCTACCTGGAAACATCTTTCATGGAGAACACTGCTCTGGGAATTCATAGAAGTTGAATGCATTTCTAATTTTGCAGATATTACCCATTATACCCAGAATGCTTCATGATTTTTAACTAAATTTGCTTTTGTGGAAGAATGGAACATTCTTTAAGTGGCTTAACTACCTATCTGTGGTTTGTTGGGGCGACTGAGTAGGCCCAAAATACCATGTCCTGACAATGAGGAAGTGTCATATTTGGTGATAAGTTAGTGGTTGCATCTTGAAAATAATAGATAACTTTACCACTGTTTACCTTGGCTAAATTATGTCCCACACTTTGAAAGTAAGATGTAATGTGATTAAAACTAGGTACTGTTGGAGTTACAAATATGTTGTTGATTTTAAAGGAACCGAAGATCTTATTGTAACCAAGAGACATTCTTCTATTCTTATGGGATTTAGAGTGAAAAAAAATTAACGAAGACAAGAGTGATCCAAACAGCTCATTAATATTTTTTTTTTCCACATAATATATGAATTGGCATATGTTGAAACAAAATGGGCAGGCTTCACTTCACAGCACATCCCTGTCACAAAATGAAGCAGCCAATCACTGCCATGCTTTTGATATTTTTGTTCTGGTTTTTGTTTCTTGTCCACTAGGAGGATGGTCAGTCGCATTGACCAGTCAGAGTTTGAGGGATTTGAATATGTTAATCCTCTACTGATGTCTGGTGAAGAGTGCGTCTAGTCAGACACATACAGATGGCTAGTCATGGGTTTATCCAGCCTTGGGCTCCACTTCTGTGCTTCCAGTGTGTTCATCTCCATATTTAAGAGTTCAGGAAGTGTTAACATCAAGTTGTTCTACAAATCTTGATGTCTTTGGAATAATTTCCAAATGGCCAGTGTGTGATTGCCATCAAGTTCTTTGATTAGCTGGAGTGTTTCAAGGAGCTGTATCGCAAAGTTTTAATTCAAGAATGAACAATCTCAAGAGTAATTTACGTTTGACCTTTATGCAAATAATTTAAGTAGCATGGCAGACTATGAAACCCTTGATAATGTGTGAACATCTGTACTACATTATTCAGTTTTTAACTTATAAAATAAGTAGTTAATTTGTAGGGTATTATCAGTTAGTTCATTTCTCAAGTCTCATAGTCCTTTCTGTATTATGATGAACTTGTGCTTTCTCTGGGAATTTTATAGAGGGCACTGTTGGGCCACTCACAAGTGCCAAATAAAGACATTTTTGTTTCACTGCACTGGTAGCCCATTCCAAATTCTGCATACCATTAATTAAAGTTGATGGTACTTGGTATGAAAAGGTTGTCAGAAGTGCTTTTTGGTATGAATCTCCCTGGATGAAGTGGTTTTAGATCACAACACCATTGTGCAAAGTGCACAAGTAGTAACTATGGAATACCCAATGTATTCTTTAAGGAAACCACATACCAGAGAGCATCAAAAGCTGCAAATAATTGTGACGAAAACACTTGCAGTGTAGTTTGCATTGGTGAAGGTGTAAGCATGTAATGTTGATATTCAAAACGAACCTGACTTTAAAGGTTAACAGAAATTGAAAACATTTAGTTCATAAAGTATTTCAAAATAGCAATAATTGTGTACCCATTTAAAAAACATTATAAATTCAATGTTTATGCCATTAATCGTGACCCCAAAATGAATAAAAAGTGTGTCGGTTCAAGGTACAAATTAAAAGACACAATCCTACCTTGTATTTCTTGAACTAAGACAGGGTTTGCCTGTGGGCCAAGCTACATCAAGCTCAACGTGGTCTATTGCAAGCGTGCGATTCTGCATGTACTGTGTGCAATCATGCAATGTACATGTACACTGTACATGTCGGTGTTCTGCCGATGACGTCATCAAATCAGCCTGGGAGCGCAAACGGCCAAAAGGGGATTTTTTGTGGGAGGGGAAACGCAGGATCTTTTTATTGATTTTGGGATCACAATTAATGGGGTAAATGTTGAATTGATTATGTTTTCGAAATGGTTACGTAGTTATTGATATTTTGAAATACTTGAATACATGAAGTAAATGTTCTCAATTTCTGTTAACCTTTAATTGCAGTTCTTCTCACATGCCATAATGAAAGCATGGAGACATTTTGAAATTGGTATTATTGAAGGTTTTCAGGTTAGTGAGTTTGAACTTGACTCTTGTCAATGTATTGCTTCTGATGCACCCATACCTGCATAATTCTTGTAAAAAATAATGGCTTAATGGCAATTTAATATTAATATTTCCACTGGGAAACAATACATGTAGTGCATTTATGTATTAGAGGTGGATATTCAAGTAAACATGTTGGAGGCCATCATTGTGCTCAATAGCTCACATTTCACTGTATTCTTGCTGATGTAAAAAAAAGAGCACTGGCAAATTCATATGTANGAAACAAATCACTGAGTATTCATTGTTCAAAAACGTTAATGATAATGCTTGAATTGTAAATGATTATGTATTCCAGTATGAACTAAAGGCATTTGACAGTGCTTTGCTGGTTGACTTAAAAAGTCATATTCCTATCTTGAAACATACATCTTAATACTCTTCATTCAGTATAAATTAATAGTATTCATGGTTGTGATATTGGAAAGCCATTATGGATGTTCGCCTTCATCAGTGTCACTTTTGACAAATAGCATTGGATTTAAATCCGCCATTGAAAGCAACTCTCAAGTGGATCGCAAAAAGTCTTTTTATAGTAAAAGTACTTGGAAAGTAAAAACGTGAAAAAAGGTGTGGCTGTGACATGGGTTGGGTAGGTCTTCCCTAGTTAAGGGAACAATTTCTTTGTTTACAAAATTCCAGACCAAGTTTTGAGGACAAAAGTTTGTCCTCGGCATTTTCGGTCCTCACGATATAGGTAAAAAGACAAGTGTAAGCTGCCACAACTACAGTACAAGTATTTGTGTACATCTGAGGGCATAGACTGGTACATTGTGTTGGATGTTGCAATTGATGTTCAGATGCTCAGATGCCATGACAAGCAGCTTGAATGCAATTTGTAATACACCTGTACCATGAAATCCTTGTTAGAGTGCATAAATCAATAGAAACATGCATCACATTGTGAGGGGGGGTTAACACAGTGCAACTCTGTTACATGCATGTAGCAAATCTTGCAACTCTCCTTTTCAGCACATGGGATGCCATTTCTCAAATTTCCCTTAGGAATGTTCATCAACTGTCATCAATCTGAGGTACTGGATGTCCTATTTTCAAAATGCTGAAGCCAGAAAAGTGGTGCTTAGTTGGTGATGTTGACCCACAAGCTGGAAATACACATTGGCGAGGGAGGTTAACTGTGTGTGAATTGCTCATATCACAATTCTAACAAGTTTGTGGTTCAGGGTTGTTCCTATCTTATGTATGAGAGCAGCTTCAATAAAGTGAAAAAGTGATGCAGCCTGTGGGACAAGTGAAGTCTTTTTTGTGAGGGGCCTTCCTAGGCCTTATCAAGTTAAATATTGTACTGTATTTTTTTAATATGCAAGTCCCATTGTGAAAACAGTGACAATAAATAGGTGAAATTTAAGCTTATCAATTGCTATGTTCTCTTGAGAGTACTGTGCCTGGGTGGCCTCATATTGCAGCCATGAATATTTATTCACACCCAGTGTGGCTACCAGTTCTTTTGGGCCTCCATGTATGGCTACTAGGGCTATGCTGTAAGCAATGTTACATAGCCTCAGTCAGTTACATGTGTGTGTGTGTGTGGCTTCAACCTGTCCACTTTGGCTAACAGCAGCCCTCCTCTGCTCCTAATTGTGGCTGAAGACATTGCTCTTGTGTGGCCTTCATTTATGTGTGACTTTCCCTTTACCCTAAATGAGTCTGGTTATTTTGGCGGGGGAAGGGGATTCTTCCCCTTGAGAACTCAGCTGCGTCGCTCACATTTTTTAAAAACTTAATATACATGTACCACTCCTAATCATTACAAATGCAAATTTGAACTGTTTTTATAGTCATTTGAAGTTCAAGGCTACAAGTGTGCCAGCCAGGGCATAATGAGCACTGCATTGGAAAAGTATACGTGTATATGTACATTCTTGGTTGATCTCTCTTAGAAAAATGTGCGCTGTGTCAGAATGGTATGTTTGAATTTGTTCAACCCCCCTCCCCCTTAGGGTTAAAGCCTCTGTTTGGCCAGTTCAACCATGGTGCTATTATACACAAGGAGTAAGCACATACAGAGATCAAAAGAGTCAATGATGGCCACTGCCAGCACTGCTCGTGCTGTAAGGACAAAACAAATCATGTGCCGCTTGTGGGCTACAAGGAACGCTCGGAGTTGCATTTGCAAAGGATCGTGGGTACCGCGCATGTGTGTCCGTAACACTACATTCAACATAGCCGCCAAGAGACGGAAACCACCACCATTGGAGACTTAAATTTTAATAATTTTAGTGCTTGTTCTGATATTTCAATGACAATGAAAGTCTGGTTACGTCTTTAACATCCCCAAACGTTTCTCTTAACAATTAACAGAGTTACTAACTATTACAAATTCTCCAAAACTCACTACACAAGAAAACTGAGAGAATGTAGCTGGTCCAGAGAAAAATTTAAAAAACACAAAAACATGGGAGGATTTGTTGTCCTTTCTGTCATTGGCCACAACTGTCTCAGCATGAAACCTCACTATGTTGTCAAATGCATCCCTGCAGCTTGTTTCCACCTTCTTATAACCTTAGGAACCACTAGGCTGGGGACTTATGATATAAATATCACAGTTTATATTTTGGGTATTCTCTACCGCCAGAACCGCAAAATGTTACAACTGACTATAAAAATTTCTGACTTTTGCCAAATAACCACCACCAATTAGGACTTTCCGAGCGCATCTGCGGGTATCACTCACTGACTCCTGAGAATTACTGAAGAGAACTGCGCACCTTCTTCGTGCATCTTTTCCACTATTCATTTACTCTAGTATGCCACAGCGAAACACAGTGAGTCTGTGGGTTACCAGCTACCCGGCGGTGGTGATCACTGTGTATAAAGAATGTCTAGGGTCTTCAACACTGGGGCTGGTAACTGGACTCAGTCTGTGGAGCCGACTGGAGCAGTTAATGGGAATACAGTCTGTAGGGACTTCCTTCTAACTCCTTGTGTTTAATGGCTCCATGGTTAGACATGACAGCCACAAGTCTGTTTTGGCTACTGCCTTTCTATATCAGTGGCTCAAAGGTGTTTGTGTGGCTGTGATTCATGGTAGCCAGTAATTCATATTGGTCACTTTGTGGCACCCACCTCCAATCCTTTGGTCACTCCATCAAGGCTTCTTTGTTTTCATTTTAAATGTGCAAATTACCACCACTATCTTGTTCCCTTATTCCACACAAGCCAGAGTGTGTTATATTCCTCCATGTTTTGTGTACATTTACATATTCATGCACAGCAGCAGAAGTTACTGCAGGTATTCCATTTATCAATTATTCATCAATTTTATGTTATATCAAGCATGGGGTGTTTTTGTCTTGGTTTTTTTTTTTTTTTGCTCTTTTTGGGGAGGGGCTGTTTTTGTTTTTAATTATTGCAATCCAAAATTCAAGCAGTGAGGAGGGATGGCCGCACTCTCTGCCATTGCCGCCTCCTCTACATTAACACTTTCTCAAGAAAATGTAAACCGTAATTGGGCTGGCAGTAAAATATTGTATGAAGGTAAAAATCATAGTAATAAATGCTAGAAGAGTCACTGTATGTAGAAATGCGGGCTTGAGATGAAAAGCATTTGTGCATAATGTTGTTTGTCCCTGATTGTTGGGTGGTGGGTGGAGCTAATAATGTTGAAGTGTTTGTGTGTGCTTGTGGGTGCATGTGAAATTGGAATGTAATCGGTGCAGCTATTTCTGAAAGCAACAATTTGATATTAGCTTTTTACAGTGTTGCTCTTGAGGAAGTACTTTAAGCTGTGGTGCCAAAGCCAGAGTCAAGATTTCAAAAATGCATTACACCAAAAATTCCCACCAAACATTACAGGGTAATGTTACAGCCCATTTCCTTATGATAAAAACCCTTAAAGAGCCAGGTTGTTCGCTCCAGCCAGGAGCCAAGAATCCATGCGCAAGTCAAATACTAGTCAATTTACTGCTCTTCCCAAACAGCATTTAAATTCACTGGTGCCTTTGCAGGGTGCATTTGGTTATTCAAATTGATTATTGGACAACAATTCGTAGTATTTGTGAAACTAACTTGGCATGTGATGAACTCTGAATAAACTTAATTTCCCATAGAATGTTAAAGCAATATGATGGGTAACTATTTGGTTCAAGAATCACATTCCCAGTGTACTTCCCAATGGCAACTATAAAATGCAAATGGCTGTTGCCTGCCAGGATTTTTCTGCAGGGGACTACTTTTTTTAAGGAGAAGTTAGGGGGAAATCACTCATTGGCTATGAATTGATAAACCTGCAACAGCTGCAGAGGCTCAGTTTTACGGTGGCGGTTTTTTGTTTTGTATTTAAGAAAAACAGTAATTTTCATCCCCCTTCATCTCTTATTTCTTCATCTCTTTCTCTTTTTTGCCCCCATTTTGTCTTTTTTATTTTTCAATGCGACCCCCCTCCCCACAGCT